TAATAATAATAGATAAAATACAATCACATAATAATATGATAATATAATATGATATTTTTAGACTGGTAGAAGTCGTGGTTATGGATATGTGGAGTTTATGTATCCTGAAGTTGCTAAAATAGCTGCAGAAACAATGAATAATTATCTTATGTGTGGGAGATTATTAAAAGGTACCATAAAAGTTACACAATATTATTAAATGAATTTTTTAATTAAACTAAATTAATGTAATGTAATGTTTTTATTTAGCTACATATATTCCACCTGAAAAACAACATAGTGGTTTTTTTGATGGTAGATCATGGACAAAAGAAATTTATCCTAAAATAATAAATAGAAATAAAGTTACTAAGATAAGAAATGGAAATATTGATAAAAAGAAGCATATAAGGTTCATACAAAGTACAAAGGATAAATTATCTACTTTAGAAAAGAAATTAAAAGAAAAAGGTTTTGATATGAAATTTATACCAATAGGTGATTCTGAATAATATTAAGGAATATTTTTTAAAATAATGGTTTTGCGATATAAATAGTTTAACTTTACTTTAAGCTTTTTATTTGAAATAATAAATTTAATTGATTGATTTATTAAAAAATTTATAATTTCATTTAAAAATCCGATTTTTATATATCTTGTAATTATAAAAAAAAAGCATCAAATTATATTTTCTTCATTTAATTTTTATTTAAAATTTTTTGCAATGTAATTAATAATTTCAAAAATATTTCAATTTCCAATCTCAGGTAACTTATATAATAAAGCAGATTATAATAGATATTATAATTAAGAATTGTAGAAATTTGTTATTTGATTGTATGATTTAATGTAATTTAATATTTACAATTAAATTTTAAATATTTAAAATTACATAAATAATTATCAAGATACATTAAACTTCTCTGATTCATTTAATAATCCTGCTTTTGTCCTCTTGCACTTCATGCGTCTATTTTGAAACCATACTTTTACCTACAAATATTAAGAAAATTTTATAGTTAAAATAAACATTTTGTGATTTATTAATATTTACAATAATATTTTTTATTATGATTTTTGTATATAATTTATACAATGATAATAAATTATTTTTTTTTGTTGAGATTAGAAAAAAAATGTTAAAGAAATAAAAAAAATAATTTAAGATGAATTATATATTTATATTTTTTCATAAATGCCCTAATATATATGTACATCAAATTATTTTTGAACAATGTTAATATCCTAATACATTTTTATATAGAATAAAGATTTAATGTATGTAAGTAAAAACTTTTTACTTAAAAAAATAATACAACTACTATAATAAATAATAAACTACTAACAAGTGCATATTGTTGTATTTAATACAAAAATAAAATAATCATATACTTTAAATTATTAATTTTTGTTCATATTATAATATTTTTTTTTAAATTGAATTAAAAAAAAATGATTTCTTACTATTATGTATTCATTTTTATATTAAGTAAATAATATTCTTATAGTAATTAACTATTTAAACTTCATTATTCTATTTATATTATTCAATTGCATTAATTTTATTAAAAATTACTATAAATTTTAATTATTTTAATCATAATCATTTAAAAAAATTTTTAAAATTGAAATTATTTTTTATATCTTTTTTCTTTTCTTTTTTCCAAAAAATTCTCTTTTCGTAATTTTTCCAACATTTCTGCGATTTTTTCACTTCTTTCACTTGCTTTCTTCTTTATTTTAGATTATTGATAGAATACATTTTGAACAAATTTAAAAATAGAAGAATTAAATATCAATGATGCTAATCTTACGTTTGGATGCTGAAAACTTTGATTTATTACTAGTACAGTAAAATATAGAAGAAAGTATTCGTGACGTCACAGCAAAGAAAATAATATTGTGCAAGAAGGACAAAGAAAATATACTATTACTTTTGATTATGCTCCTCACTTATTTTAAAAATAAGATATTAAAAATTAATTAATATTTAATGTTTTTTAATTTCGTTTGAAAAGAATTTCAAATTAAAATTTTTATGAGAAATTTCTTTGAAATCTTATTTTTAAGAAGCAAGTTTAAAAATATAAAAATTTTTAGTAAAACATTATTTATTAATTAATTTTCAATATTGCATTTTTAAATTGGTGAGGGTATAATAATATCTCGCATAATATTGGTTCTTTGTATCGTGACGTCACGAATACTTCTTTGCATATTCTGTTATACTAGTAACAAGTCGAAGCTTTCAGTGTTCAAACGCGAGATGGAGCCACAGATATATAAATTTTTTAATTTTTGTTCATCTAGCCTATGAGTAAAAAATTCTTTATGTTTCTATATGTTTCTATATAAAAATTTATATATATTTTTATTTTGATATACCATATATATACATATTTCATATATATTTCTATTTTATCGTGCATATTTTTTATTTTATTTTAAATTTTTATATGTCGGATATATATTTCATATTTATATATTTTTATATTCTTAAATTTTAGATGCATATTTTATATATAATTAATTATATATAATTATATATAATAAATATTTTTATATATAATAAACGTTTTAAGTGTTAAATAAACAAGATAATAAAAAATAACGAAATAAATATAAAGTAAATAAGTAGTATATGAAATTTTGTAAAAAATTATTAAAATTAGTTGTTGGGATAATATAATATAATATAAAAAATATAAATATATAAAAACACATTAAATTCTAAAAATTTTTTTACAATATTTATGTTCATGATATCTTGAAAATCACTTTATTCTAATAAATTATTATATTTTCATAAACAAAATTATAAATTCGAATAATTTTTATTTCTTATAAAAAATTTTAATTCTATATTAAAAAAATATAATTCGAAAAGTGCATGCGAAATTTTTCTTATTTTCAAAAATTTTTTATAAGACATATTTATAATCTGTATATTTATTTTATAATCAATGTACATGCATATTAATAACACGGATTTGTAAATTCTTAATAAATATACGTATTCAAAATTACAATTTCTATTAATAATGGATTGAAAATATCTCATATCATTTTAAAAATATTAGATTATTAAAATAAATTAATTAATTAGAAATTTACCTGACGTTCTGTTAAATCTAGAGCAACTGCTATTTCATAGCGACGTAAACGTGTAAGGTAATTACTATGCGCAAACTCGTATTCAAGGTGTCGAACTTGGTGTTTCGTAAATGCAGTTCTTTCTTTACGAGGTTTATCACCAATTAATCTTTTGTTTGTCTCTGAAATAAAAATTAATGATTTTAATAAATTGTAATAAAGATATGATTTTAAAAACGATAGATACAAAACTTTTAAGAAATAGAATAACATTTTCACATTTTATAAAAATTATTATATAACATATTATACATAAAAACAGTGAAAAATACAGTTAAAATCTAAATTTTAGAAGAATAGCATGTTATTTTAATAATTATGGATAATCATGTAAGTAGATATTGATTCATCATTGTTTTTTTAAAATTAATTAATAATAGAATTTTTCAAAACTTTTCTTCTAATAAAATAGAAGATTAGACTTGATTAAGTTTCAATTTGTCATAAAAAAATTTTCCTGAATCATATATATCTTATTGTTTGAATGATATTAAATTTAAGACATAATATAAATGAGCTACTCGATACTGATTTCATTGCAATGATATCGTGCGATTCGGCAGGTTATGTGACAACCTTTGTGTATAAGAGGATGTTTTTATATATAATATAACATATTACGATTGCACAATCTTGAAAATAAGTAACACAATAGTGTCGAATTATTATTGCGAATTTGTAACAGCATTATATCATTTATCAAATATCCTTTTGAAAAAAATATTGATTTTTATAAAGCTTATATTCTTCATATATCCACTTGAAAAAAATTAATAATATTAAATTATGTCACTTCTATTTCATGTAACATTTATCATGTAACATACAAAATATTTTTTCAACAAATATTAATTTAATTTACTAATTATTTTATTATTATTATTTAGAAGACTCATTCTGAATATCATATATTTGATATACTATATCTCAAAAGTATTTAAACTATTTTACAAGAAATTTAATTTTTAATTTTGATAAAAGTTTGCATATATACAGCATAATGAAGCAATTCTAAATATGTATTTTTTTTAATGGGAAATTTTTGTAAGATAAATTTAATTCCAAATTTTCAATATCTTTTCACATTTAAAAATTTTTTTATGATATAAAGATAAAAAAAGCACTAAATTCTGATTATTTTATAATTTTGCTCTGTTTCGTATCATCATGAAATTACAAAAAGTGCATTAAAAATTTGAACTTGAATTTTTAATTTCATCTTTTTAAAATTTAATATTTTGGTTGCAAAGAATTGCTCAAACAATTCATTGTACGTGCACAAAATTTCGTTAAAAACAGGAAATTCATTAGAAAATAAAAAAAAAAATGTTCGAATACTTTCACTTTATATATTATTAAATTGTTATCCTCGATTTCTTATATTCGTTCTATTATACGTATTACATATAACGTAATCCTAGTAAGATTTTAACCAGTGTTTTTTATTTACAAAGCGGCGGTCAGATGAAAATAGCTTCATATTCGATGCGTCATTACCAAGCTGCTCCCGCGTACCAGTTAATAAACGTGCCGCTATAATGTAGGTTGTCGGAATCACAGGATTATCTACGGGCGATGATGTATAAAACATGGTCGGATCGGTGGTAAAGCCCTTAGCCTTGCTTCCGTACCGCTATCTCATTTACTATATTTGTTAACTGACGTCAATCGAACAAAAGTATGGTATATGCAATTTTTTGAATATCATATTTTTCCTTATTGGATTTCTCAATGTGTATCAATCTTAAAAAATTTAATTTTTCAATGGAAACTTTATATCGCAATGTTATTTTTATATCTATTTCAAATAAATCTACCATGTTTATTAACTGACGTCAATTGAACAAGTATATATAATATTTTTGAAACGAATCTTAATAAATAATAAATTTTTCTGTTGGATCAATGTCAAAAAATCAAGATTGAACATATACAAGAAATAGTTATATTAGAAATATTGAATTTTATAAATTTTCAAATTCGATTTCCAAGGAAATTATTTTTGAAATGAAAAAATTATTATTTTTTAATAGCAATATACATCTTTAAATATATAAAAATGTTCAAAAATATCCCAATTCATTTTTATACATATTATTTATTTTAAAAATTATGAATATATACTTTATTTATGAACATATGCACAGTTTAAAGAAATATTTGAAATGGAAATAAGAAAAAAAGTTTATCCTTATTACATTTATTACATATTAAAACTATACTACACGTGCTATTTGTATAAAATATTTTAAAATGATTTTATCGTATTAAATTCTTTACTATAAGGATAAATTTTTATGATAATTTCATCTTTTATTACTTGTAATGATATGAAATGAGAATGGTAGTTACGTTGCTTGATAAATATTTAGACTACGCTGGCTCCATTATA